TTTCTGGGTGCAGGGTCCCAAGGCTTTGGGCCATTCTCCATTGCTTTCCCAGGCCACAGGCAGGGAGCTGGATGGGAAGTGCAGCAGCCAGGACATGAACTGGTGTCCTTACAGGATCTAGGTGCATGCAAGGCGAGGACTTAGCCACTGAGCCATTGTGCTGGGCCTGAACTAGTCCTTCTGAAGCCTGAACTTATGCAAGTGCTTTTGTAAGTAAACTTTTTTTTTTTTCTAAATGTGTTTGAGGCTATCTTTCAACACAGAACATGTTAAGGATTTGGGACTTAATTTTAGGTGCAAAGTAACTGCAATGTTTTAAGTGATATGGATGTGCCAATTTAAAAAAATGAAAGAGACTGATTTTGTGATTTGAAAAGATTGTCTTGACAATATGGTGGGAATTGGCTTGGGAAATATCTATGAAGATATGAATGGATCACTTACAAACTCACACTTGTCGCAGTGTCAGATAGTCAACATCTAAATAAACATCAGGTAGATGAGTTTGAGAGAAGGGGGTGATTTAAGATGTGTCTCTCTGGGCCTGGTGTGGTATCCTAGTGGCTAAGGTCCTTGCCTTGCACATGCCAGGATCCCATATGTGCACCTGGATCCCATGTGGGTGCTGGTTTGTGATCCCGCAGCTCTGCTTCCCATCCAGCTCCTTGCCTGTAGCCTGGGAAAGCAGTCAAGGACAGCTCAAAGCTTTGGGTCCCTGCACCCATGTGGGAGACCCAGAAGAGGCTCCAGGCTCCTGGCTTCAGATCAGCTCAGCTCCAGCTGTTGCAGCCACTTGGAGAGTGGGTCAGCAGATGGAGGATCTTCCTCTCTGTCTTTCCTCCTCTTTGTATATCTGACTTTTCAATAAAAATAAAAATAAAAAAAGATATGTCTCTCTGAATGCCAATCACTAGGGTTTCCCAAGGATCGAATCCAAGGGTCACTGACAGCAGTCAAGGATGACTTTCAGTTTCCAGCATGAACAGCTGGTTCTGTCATTTCCTTAGCTAGGAAAGACCGGTGGTGAAGGACCTCTGGACAGGAATCAACCACTTGTTAAAGTCTCAATTCTTGCTTGCACTGTGTGTGGCTTGACCAAGGGCGAGTATCAGACAGTCCAGAGCAGAGATTCTTGAGCTGGAAGGAGTGAAGGAGCCACAGGCATGAGAAGAAGCTTACAGCTGTGGAACTAGATGATCTAGAGAGCAAGCTGAGGGTGACAAGGATTTCCAGTGTTCGGAGGGAGTGGAAAGGCAGGTGGTCAGCAAAGGAGGAGAGGCTGCCAGGATGGGCAGGGATTCATCCTTCTACCAGGGTCTGAGCAGTGACTGAGACTTCAGCTGAGATTCCTGGCACAGAAAGACAGTAGATGCTGGCTCAGTTAGATATTTTAACATTGTAGATCCAGTGTTGGAGGGATTTCAAAGGTTTATTTCAGCTGCAATTGATTATACTGAGTCCAAAATGCACCTTAGTGCCCCAGATCCAAGCAATGCAATTAGCATATTTGGTCCTTGTGGAGGTTCTGTTGAGCCCATATTCAAAATAGATTGCCAAGATTCTGAGCTTTCTGTTGTTGATACTGTGAAAAGTTGTGGTGTTGGTAAATATACTCAAAGAATGAGCTATTTTACATGCTGATGAAATCTGCTAATTGCTAAAAGGAATAAAGAATGTTATGGCACAGCTGGGTAGGCCACGCCCTGAAATGCCAGTATTCCCTGGGAGAGCCGGTTCTGAGTCCTTGCTCCACTTCTGCTGTAGCTCTCTGCTAATTTGCCTGGAAAGCAGTGGAAATGGCCCAAGTATTTGGGCCCTTGCTACTGTGATGAGCAGAATTAACAAAACTTGTTAACAATATTATTATCTGTAACCCATCTCCTTAAAATATGCAGTGTGTGGACTATGAAATGATATAATGAGTAGTTAACCTGTGTGTGAGATGTCTGAAACACTCATGAATGTAACGCTACATGAAGTGTGTAACTTCCCCCTCAGAGTAGGTACCAATAGTAAGTGACATGTCAGGATTTATGTGTGACATGATTAGGACTTAGGACTTGCCTGTGTGTATAGCCAAGATAATGTTTACCCCCCAGTAGTCTAGAAGGAGATAATCAAGAGGGGCTGAAGGCCAACCAATCAGCAACAAAGATAGCCGCATTTGGAGGCACATTGGAGTTAAGATTTCAATACAGGAATTTTGTTCCTGGGATGGAATAACCGGAAAATCCTCTAGTTAAAACTGCCTAGATTTTCTGGGTAATACAAACGAACCCAATACATGTCCTTTGAAATGCAGGGCAGAGCCATCTGATAATCCAAATAACATGTACCTGGGCCCCTACTGAGATGACCTAGGTGGGGACCAAGCACTAGATGCCTTTTTCCAGGCCATCTGTGTTTAATGCACACATGGAGACTAAGCTAGACGCACTGGATCCTAAGTGACAAGGGAATTAAAAACGGTTGTCCCAGTACACATGACCCAGCCTGGTCTCTGGGTGATCACAGGGGCTGGCTGCACAGCAGGTTGGTATGTTAGGCAGGCCTGGTGTTTGTTCGTCGTCACCTGCTTGCTTTGGGAGTCCCTAAGGCAAGAGATGAGCACAGAAATGATCTCAGGGTGGGGGTGGGATAGGATGGGGAGGCTCAACTGGTCAATCCTCCCCTTACAAGTGCCAGGATCCCATAATGGCTCAAGTTCATGTCCCGGCTGCTCCACTTCCCATCCAGTTCCCTGCCCGTGACCTGGGAAAGCAGTGGAGGATGGCCCAACGCCTTGGGACTGCAACTGCAGACTCAGCTTTGGTCATTGTGGCTACTTGGGAAGTAAACCAGTGGGTGGAAGACCTTTCTCTGTAAATATGACTTTGCAATTAAAAAAAAAAAACAAACTTAAAACAAAAAGAATAATCCTTAAGCGGGGAGTATCATTGGAATGCTCAGGCAAGTCACTTAACCTTTTTGTTTGATCCTTACTTCTAGCCCAGTCGTTCTGTCAGTGGCGTGTGGTGACGGGGTAGGGCTGAGAGTGGGAGTGGGCCAGTCGTATGCCCATCTCCTAGGGTTGATGTGGCGTCGATGTTCTATCCTGGCTGGTGTGCATGGGTCTCAGTTCCAAGGGGAAGCTGCTACCATCTACTCCGTCCTTCGGAGCTATCTCACCTCAGCTGGGACAGACTGTCAGACTCTTTCTTCTCTTTCTTGTCCCCAAAAGACAAGAAGCACATGATACCTTCCAGCTGAGGGCGACACGTTGGAGCACTGGGGTTGAAATCATGGCTCTGCTTCTTTTTTTTTTTTTAAGATTTATTTATTTTTATTGGAAAGTCAGATATACAGAGAGGAGAGACAGAAGGAAGGTTTTCTTTCCGATGATTTATTCTCCAAGTGGCTGCAACGGCTGGAGCTGAGCTGATCTGAAGCCAGGAGCCCGGAGCTTCTTCCAGGTCTCCCACACTGGTGCAGTGTCCCAAGGCTTTGGGCCGTCTTCCACTGCTTTCCCAGGCCACAGGCAAGGAGCTGGATGGGAAGCAGGGCTGCTGGGACACAAATAGGCGCCCACATGGGATCCAGGTGCATGTTAGGCAAGAACTTTGGCCACTAGGTTGCCTTGCCAGGCCCTTGGCTCTGCTTCTGATGCACTTCTTTCTAACACACATCCTGGGAAGCAGGGTGGCTCAAGTGGTTGGGTTTCTCAAGTAATTGGAGTTCTTGGCTCTTGGCTTAGGCCTGATGGAGGCTGGGCTGTCAAGGGCCTTTAGAGAGTGAGCCAGTGGATGGGAGATGTCTTCCTGCCTGACTCACTGAGAATAAATACCTCTTTATGAAGTTTTCCAGCTCCTCTTCTTGTTTTAATGATTGGGTCATTGATCCTTATTGAAAAGAAGAAAGAAAATGGGATTGAGGTGGTCTTGGAAGACATGTAGGGTCTGAGTAGGCAGAACTGCAGGAAGGCTGTATCATAGAGAGAGGACATGTAGAGCAAAAATCCGGGCAAGATGGGCCTGGCGTAATAGCGTAGTGGTTAAAGTCCTTGCCTTGCACGCGTCGGGATCCCATATGGGTGCCGGTTCTAATCCACTTCCCATCCAGCTCCCTGCTTGTGGCCTGGGAAGGCAGTCAAGGACGGCCCAAAGCCTTGGGACCCTGCGCCCGCATGGGAGACCCGGAAGAGGCTCCTCCTGGCTTCAGATTGGCTCAGCTCCGGCTGTTGTGGCCACTTGGGGAATGAATCATCGGACGGAAGATCTTCCTCTCTGTCTCTCCTCCTCTGTATGTCCGCCTTTCCAATACAAATAAATAAATCTTAAAATAAAAAAATCTGGGCAAGAGAAACCCTCTTTAAGGCCAGCAGCAGAAGAGCTACAACCATTAAAACTCATTTTCTCTACAGCATCTCCTCTCAGAAGCCTGCGATGCTGTCATCCTTCCACAAGGCTCTGCCCTTTTGTGCTTTTCTTACTGTCTTCAAAAATAGCTTGGCATTGAACTATATTCAGTTTGGGAAAACAGTATATCTCTCTCTCTTTTTAGGAACATTTATTTATTAACTTGAAAAGCAGAACTATGCACAGCCGGAACGGGAGATCTTCCAACTGTGGCTGACTCCCTAGGTGGGTGCAACAATCAGGACCGGGTCAGGATGAAGCCACAAACTTTGTCTGGGTTTCCCATGTGGGTAACAAGGGCCCAAGTACCGGTGCCATGCTCTGCTGCTTGCCCAGGCCATGAGCAGGGAGTGGGATCAGAAGTGGAACAGCCAGGACTCGAATGGACGCCCATATTGAATGGCAGCATTGCAAATGGTGGCTTTACCCACCATTCCACAATGCCAGCCCCCTACATATCTTTCCAAATACGTGTGTGTGTGTGTGTGTGTGTGTGTGTGAGCACATGCAGTCTTTCCTCTCTGAGCCTAACCTTCTTGAAGATTCTTTCCAGATTCTTCCCCCTTTTAGTCTAAGGAATCTAGAAAGTGCTGAGAACATAAACCATTCTGAATTTTTTTTTACTGAAAGCCCAATTGGAAACACAGCCGGGGACTCTGCCTCTAAAAGCAAAGTGCACGTGGAATTCGCGTGTTACTGCTTGGTGTGGGTGAAGAGTTGAAGTAAACATTTGGAAGACATGCTCGGGCCCTTGATTGCTGTTTACACACATTCCTTAAATGTGTATGAAGTATTTCAAGTCCTAGGGAGAAAAAAAAAAATGAGTTATTTCAGTGGAACCATCTTAGACTTTGTATATGGAAGGGTCTTTGTTTGTAAAGTGAATTCCAAACTGTTTCAAAGCACCTTTTTTTCTGATTGTCTAGCTCTTCCTCTGCGGTAAACATGCCATGTTTCTGGGCCTTGCTAGGGTAGACGAAAAAAAAAAAAAAAGCAAACCAAACATGCACTGCAATGGGAATTCTTTGTCCGCATCCCAGGGGGTTTTTTCAGGCCTTCAGAAATAGGGTAGGACAATTTAGGATATTCTTTCCAAAGCATCCTTCCGGCTCACCCCCGCAAGTAATGTGGGAACATTTACGTGACCGTCATTTCCGGGCAGCCAGATGGACGGCTCAGGCCGTGTGGTGGAACTTTGCCAAGTGCTCAGGGCTTTTTGGCTGAGGGTAGGTCATGCCCAGGTCGTTAATGATTTGTCCGCCCTGGAGGACACACAGGTGAGGCCAGTTGACAAAGGCAACTCGAAGGAGGGAAGAAAAGCCAGCCCTGGAGATCCCAAAATTCCAGCACTATTTTTATTTTAACTTTGTTTTGATTAGAAATACTCTTTTCCCATATTTATTGCGTTTTAAAATAGTTGCATTTTATATGATAGACTAAAAGGGGAGTTTTTCAAGTTTCGGAGAGACCTACCATTTGGGGGTGTGTGTCCTAGACACAGGGTTCTCTTTGGGAGTGGTGCTTCTCAAACGTTTGAGTGAAGCAGAGACATCACCTGGAAAGACAGCCGAAGTCTGCTTTCTGGCCCCACGCCCAGCTTCTGACTCAGTGGGGACAGGGCAGAGTGCCGGGTTTGCCTGTTGTCTCCTGTGTCCCCAGCCATGCTGGGCCAGGGACCACACTTTTAGAACTACTGGGCCTAGAGAAGCCTAGAATAGACCCTTGGAAAAGTTCAAATTCCTTTCACACTTAACTTGCTCCAGGCACCGCACAAGCTGCTTGACACACGTTGCATCTAGTCCATAGGACAACCTCAACAGTTGGGGTGCCTGAGAAGTTGGAACTCAAGGGGACTGGCATTGTGGTACATTGGATTAGGCTGTGGGTTGCAAAACTGGCATCCTTCCTCAAGGAGAGAGGGAGAAAATTTTTCTTGGAAAGAAAAATGGAGGAGAAACACGAGTTCATATTTTTTTTTTTTAAAGATTTATTTTTATTATTTTTTCATTGGAAAGGCGGATATACAGAGAGGAGAGACAGAGAGGAAGATCTTCCATCCGATGATTCACTCCCCAAGTGAGCGCAACGGGCCGATACTATGCCGATCCGAAGCCAGGAGCCTCTTCCGGGTCTCCCACGCGGGTGCAGGTTCCCAAAGCTTTGGGCTGTCCTCGACTGCCTTCCCAGGCCACAAGCAGGGAGCTGGATGGGAAGCGGGGCTGCCGGGATTAGAACCGGCGCCCATATGGGATCCCGGGTGTGCAAGGCGAGGACTTAACCACTTGCGCCACCGCGCCGGGCCCAAGTTCATATTTTTAACAATGATTTCAGCAGGGATCAAAAACCTTAACTGCCTACTATCTCATCTGACTGCTCACACATTTCTCCCTGCCCCCCCAGAAGAAGGAACCCTAACTGCTATTAGGGGTGATGGGGTGACAACCACTCTACCTGCTTCATACTGAAGGGGGTGTTGTTGAGTAACAGCAGCAGTAAGGGATTCTCCAGGGGTGATCTAGGGGTCCCCAGGAGAACGCAGAAGTCAGCAGAGGTCCCGCAGTGTTGTTTGGGCTCCGAGTGTTCCTTCTCGCTGAAGTCTAGATAACAAAACAAAGACGGTTATAAGTGTTCCCAACCTAGTATGTAATGGGTTCAGTTGGAAATCTCAATTTGAATACTTGAATTTTAGAACTTAGATGTGAAAAAAAAGTCAGGTGTCAACTTTTGTTAGAGTAAACATTAGACCCAAGCACTTTATTTAAGATTCTGAGCTAGATTTATCAGTTTAAGTTAACTCCTTCAAGGCTCAAATTTTGAAACAATTAAACTCAATGAACACAATAGAATGCACGAAACTTTTCTGAACTGCATAAAATTGTCATCTAAGTTAGCAAATATTTTTAAAGGATTTATTTATTTTTATTACAAAGTCAGATATACAGAGAGGAGGAGAGATAGAGAGAAAGATCTTCTGTACACTGATTTACTCCCCAGGTGAGTGCACCGGCCGGTGCTATGCCGATCCGAAGCCAGGAGCCTAGGAGCCTCTTCCGGGTCTCCCACATGGGTGCAGGGTCCCAAGGCTTTGGGCTGTCCTCGACTGCTTTCCCAGGCCACAAGCAGGGAGCTGGATGGGAAGTGGAGCTGCTGGGATTAAAACTGGAACCAATATGGGATCCCGGCACATTCAAGGCAAGGACTTTAGGCACTAGGCCACCGGGCCCTAGGTTAGCAAATTTTAAGTCACAGAAACAATTAAAGTGTTAGTATGCAGCATCAGGACATAGGCCCATCACAAAACAAGTAAATGTAAGTTAAAACACGCGTTGTCAGGAGCCTGGTCAATGGTTTAGACTGAGCAGTTACAGGCCAGCTATTTTTTCCTTAAAAAAGCTTCTTTTTTTGGGCCCAGTGCGATAGCCTAGTGGCTAGAGTCCTTGCCTTACACGCACCTGGATCCCATGTGGGCGCTGGTTTTTGTCCCAGCAACCCCACTTCCCATCCAGCTCCCTGCTTGTGGCCTGGGAAAGCAGTCGAGGACAGTCCAAAGCCTTGGGACACTGCACCGGTGTGGGAGATCTGGAAGAGGCTCCAGGCTCCTCATTAAATGGTTTTTAATTGACTGTCAAGGATGCCAAGAAGGCTTAAAATATCTAGTTGGAATAGGCACCATATAGATCAATTGATTTTTGACACAATGATCCAACAAGTATACAACTTTGGCTATTCTTTTTTTTTTTTTTTAAAGATTTATTTATTTTTATTACAGAGTCAGATATACAGAGAGGAGAAGATACAGAGAGAAAGATCTTCTGTCTAATGATTTACTCTCCAAGTGGCTGCAACAGACGGTGCTGCACCGATCTGCAGCCAGGAGCCTAGGTAATCCTCTTCCAGGTCTCCCACGCGGGTGTAAGATCCCAAGGCTTTGGGCTGTCCTTGACTGCTTTTCCAGGCCACAGGCAGTGAGCTGGATGGGAAGCTGGGCTGCCGGGATTAGAACCGGCGCCCATATGGGATCCTGGCGCTTTCAAGGCGAGGACTTTAGCTGCTAGGCCATGGCGCTGGGCCCAGCTTTGGCTGTTCTTAAATGAAGAGAACTCAACGAAAGACAGAAAACAGAGAGATCACTTCAACAGGTCAAAACCACATATCTGTTTTGTTACACAAACAAAAGCACTTGGGTAAGAACTGGCACATGATTTGTCTCAGACAGTGAAGCAACTTAAGAGTCAGAAATAAAACTTGCTAACTAGAAGATTTAGTCACCAATATGATCAAAATCACTTAAATGGAGTTGTTAAAATGCTGTTACCTTAACAATGGATCAGCTTCTAATTCCGTGTACCAAAGATAAATATTTAGAAAACGCTGTATGCAATAAGATCAATTATACCATACATCCTCTAAGAATTTGCTGTTTGGGCCCAGTACGGTAGCCTAGCAGCTAAAATCCTCTCCTTGCACGTGCCTGGATTGCATAAGGGCATTGGTTTTAATCCCAGCAGTCCCTGCTTCCCATCCAGCTCCCTGCTTGTGGCCTGGGAAAGCAGTCAAGGACAGCCCAAAGCCTTGGGACCCTGCACCTGCATGTGGGAGACCAGGAAGAAGTTCCTGGCTCCTGGCTTCTGATCAGCATAGCATCGGCCGTTGCGGCCGTTTGGGGAGTGAATCAGTGGACAGAAGATCTTCCTCTCTGTCTCTTCTCCTCTCTGTATATCTGACTTTGCAATAAAATAAATCTTTTAAAAAAAAAGAACTTTGAAGAATTCAGAGGTCCCAAATAATGTGATCAAAACAACAGCATGCTAACAAGCACTGCAGGCCAGATCTGATCACGGTTAGGCCAGCACTGGAAACTCAGCTGGAGCAGGGCTGCGGCGCTCTGCACGCCCCTGCCACACCGAGTGGGCGTGCAGCCTCTGTGCTCCTGCCACACAGCTGATTTAGTGGAAAAAAATCTTGACAGCTTGCTTTGCCTTTCTCTAGTTGCCCACAAAGTCGGGTCTCTTCCCTCATGTTTACAGTTTTTCAAATTTGTTTCTCTATAAACCATTTCTTTTCTTGGCATGATTTTCTGTTGTTGCTCTTTTTAACTCTTTTCTCAATGTTCATGTATATCCAATCTGCTTACACGAAGGCAAGCAGTCCTTTGGCAAGTGGGTTTCAAGGTGTTTTTGAGCTTAGTCTTGATTCAGTCCGTTTCCTTCTCGTCTTCTTGTTTCATACCTGAGTTAGGTGGCTCCTGGGTGTTATAGCCACCTCAGAAAAACCTCCATCTTTCTTGAGCTCCTAATCATTGTATGCATAACTGAAAATGTTTCATGACTTTTTTGGGAAGGTATGTGCGTGTGTGTGTTTGTGGCGTGACAGAGAGAGAGAGAGAGAGAGAGGCTTTTGTGTGCTGCTGGTTTATTCCCCACATGCATGCAATGGTTTGTATAGGGTTGGGCCAAAGTCAGGAGCAAGACACTCAGTCCACAGCCCCCTTGTGGTGGCCCGATTGTTGCAGCCTTTACTCTCTGCCTCCTGGGGTCTGCAGTGACAGGAAGCTGGCGCTTGGGGAAGGGAGCTGGACCCTCCTGCTGTGGGATGCAGGTGTTTCCAGCACTGTCTCGGCCGTCAGGCTCACCGCTGGTTTACTTATTTTGTATTTTTATATTTGACTGTTTGATTTGTCTGCATTGGCTTGATGGGAGCTCTGTAGGTAGTGACCAGCAGTGCCAGCATCGCCTCCCTGTCGGTCGTTCCCCGGGTAATTTCAATGCCCACCTTTACAGTATGTGACATTCCCATCCAGTCTTCTTCTGATGTTTCTTTGGTTCCCTTGATTTCTTCTCTCGGGGAAAAACTGTTCTGTTGATTAAAGTTTCAAAAATCTGTGTTGGTAGCAAGCTGGATGTAGGATGGGGTGACTGAGACGCTCTTGCTGGTGGAGCCACGTAGGCTGAGATTTGGAAAACAAGAGACGGGGACAAAGACATTGCAGGTAGGGGCCGCTGCATGCACCTAGGCTGCAGGTAGAGCAGCTGGGCTCACGGAGGGAGCAGGAAGAGACCGCTGCAGTGAGCACCCTAAATGGGGGAGAGGAGGACTGAGACGGCACTCTCAGGCAGGGCGGGTGCTGTCAGAGCTCATAGATTGGGCTTGGCTTGGTTCCCAGCGTGAAGGGAAGCAGTTCGCATTTTTTTGTAAAGTTTTATTTTACATCAAAGAATTAGAGGGAGGTCTTCCATCCACTGGTTCACTCCTTAAATGACCTCAACAACTACAGCTGGGCTGGTGCAAGGCTGATGGCTGGGAGCTTCTACCTGGTCTCCCACATGGGTGCAGTGTCCCGGAGACTTGAGCCATACTCTGCTGCTCTCGCAGGCCACAGGTGGGGAGCTGGATCGGAAGTGGAGCAGCCTGGACTAAAATCAGTGCCTTTCTGGGAGATTGGCATTGCAGGCTGAGGGTTAGCTTGCTAGTCCACAGGATTGGCTCCAGAATTTGAAGGCAGAAAGAAATGAGCTCCAGTTTTCCAAAGGATGACGCCACCACGTGGCTGTGAAGTGGCGAATGAGTCGGCAGAGAGCAACCACTGCACAATGAGGCCAGTTCTGGGGTCGTAGCAGTGCCCCAAGCCAGAGGCTGTGATGGTCAGCTACAGGACGGGCAGAGGGGACTGGGACACATCTGAGACACATTCTGGAGGTAGAATTAGCAACATGACTGATGGGTCAGGGCAGGGTGCTTGGGCAGTGGCTAGAGGCATGGCAGGAAGGCAGGAGGGCACTGCCTCAAGTCCCCACCCATCCCTCTGTGGCTTTCGCTGCAGTCACCTGCCACGGGGCTCTGTCCACTCCAGCCCATGTCTGTGTCCCTGGCCTGGGCTCTCGCTCCTCCTTGCCCTGTGCACTCTGTTCTCTGCCTTCACACCCCTTACCCTGCAGGCAGGACGCAGTGTGTCCTCCTGCTGCCTCCATCAGCCAAGCAGCTCCCCCTGGTTACAGCATCTCTGACCTTTTATTTGTCCCCTTCATCCTGACTCAGCGGCTGTGTTTGTTTACTCGGGACGGGAGCTCTGTTAGGGCAGGGAGAGCAACCTTTTTATTCCTTCTTGTATTTGTAGCCCCGCCACAGTGTCTAGCGAACAGCAGATGGGCGGTAAACACATGACTCAGGAATGACTTAAGTAAGCCTTGTGGTCTTCACTAAGGCTTTGGGAGGTGAAATGGGAACATTTTTTTTTTAATTGAGGATGACACTCAGAACAATAGGTGCCTGTTCTAGTGTAGTTCCAACGAGTGATGGAGTGGAGGGGAAATACTGGTGAATCCAGTGAGCTCTGTTCTAGCAACAGCCCCAAAGGGGACAATTGTCAAAGTTGGGAGGGTTGGCCAAGGCGTGTCCTGGGCTCATCTGTTGGAGAGCTTGGGAGTTATGTAAGAACGTGGCCAGCAGAGGGCAGCAGAGGGCTGTACAACAGGTCTGTCTCATTAAGCCTCAAACAGCTGAGGTTTGGGGAAGCGGAGCTGACCTGTCTAGTCTCCACCTTCCACATCCCTAATCAATCAATCAATCAATCTATCTATCTATCTATCTATCTATCTATCTATCTATCTATCTATCTATCTATCTATCTATCTATCTATCTATCTATCTATCTATCATCTATCTTTCATTTTGTTTGAAAGAGAAGAGGGAGAGAGAGGCATAGACAAGAGAGCTTCCATCCCCGCTCCACTGTCCCAAATGCCTGCGACGGTCAGGGCTGGGCCTGTCTGAAGGCATGAGCCCAGAATCCAGGCCTGGGTGGCCCAGACCCACGTCCTTGGGCCACCACCTGCTGAGCCCCGGGAGCTGGAGCCAGGCACTCGGACGTGGATGTGGGTGTCCCAGGCTGCAACCACTCCTGATGCCCCTCCCCGTCTTGTTCTTGGTGGGCAGCACCCTGATTCTCTCCACTGAGGGCAGCAGCTGCTGTCTGGCTGTGGACCCCAGGCTGCTGGGAGGGGTAAACGGAGGGGTAGGGTGAAGGTCAGGTGGCGAGCCCCAGTGTACGGAGGGAGTATGTGGAATGTGGAGTCTGGAGACTGCTCACCAAGCAGGAAATATGGTGGCTGGGAAGGCTCAGAGTCCAGGAAGGCACACGGGTGGTAATTCTTGTACTCAGTTGGCTCAGGCACACACGTTGTCAGAAACTGTTTTGCAGGTTGCTATCCTCTCTGTCCTGTTCCTTTTTGTTGAAGTTTTTTAAAAAATGACCAATTTGGGGCATGGTGTGGTAGCTTCGTGGCTAAGGTCCTTGCCTTGTGTGCACTGGGATCCATATGGGTAATGGTTTGTGTCCTGGCGGCCCTGCTTCCCATCCAGCTCCCTGCTTGTGGCCTGGGAAAGCAGTTGAGAACCGCCCACGTCCCTGGGACCCTACACCCTTGTGGAAGACCCAGAAGAAGCTCCTGGCTTCAGATCGGCTCAGCTCTGGCTGCTGTGGCTACTTGGGGAGTGAACCAGGAGACAAAAGATCTTTCTGTCTCCGCTTCTCTCTGTAAATCCAACTTTCCAAGAAAAACAAATAAACCTTTAAAAAGATCAGTTTTCCTCTGGGGAAAAAGGGATTTAGCACAGGCACTGGGGGAGGGGGCAGTGGACTGTCCGCCAGGGTCGGGGGAATCAGGCTGCATGCTCTGAGCACACATTTCCACACGTTCTTAGCGAGGATACACATACTTCACACAGTAAACACACATGCACATATACATTTCCCACAGACACATCACACCTGCCACGCATGTACACGCAAGCACACGCGCCTGGCATCGCACACGCACACATGGCCAGAGGCATTGGGGTGGACGCTATGGTTCCGATTCTCCCTCCGTCACTCCCGTGCTCCAGGTGTGGTAGCATGTGGATTAGAACTAGGATCAAGCCAACTCGGAGTCTCAGGAATACGCTGCAAGTGGCCTCGGCTCCTCTCTGTAATCCTAACCTCCGTGGCATTCCCTTGGTTGCTGCGATTGTTTTAGGAATGAGCCTGTAACATGTCCATGTATTTGAGGTGACAGGGAACCTGGGGAGCTATGGCGGTCATCCTGCACCCATGCCCTGCTTCCCCTCCAGGACAGCTGGACTGGACATGGCTGATGGGGGTGGTGGTGGCAGGCTAGCTGACGGGCTGCTCTCCCAAAACACTTAACACATCCCTGTGTGCCACAGCTCTTGGTGAGTCCACACTCCGTCGTGGCTGTCGAGGCATTCCAGTTGAATTTTCTGTCTCTTTTCCCAAACCCCTGGAGTGGCTCAATTGCCCTCCTAGCCCTTTTGTGGGAAGGCCTGAGAGGGGCGGGGCCTGTGCGGTACCGAGGGGGCGTGGCTGTGTTGTCACGAGGGGTGTGACCTTGCTGTGATGAGTGGTGTGGCCTGTGCTCTAGCGAGGGGTGCTGCTCCTTCCTCCCCTCTGACTTTTTGGCCATCTAAGGCACCTGGCAGCTGTTTCTGGAACTTGCTGCATGGAACAGAGCAGAAGGGCAGCTAACCTGATTGTATCCTCTTGGCCTTGTAAGGAGAGAGACACAGTTCAAATCTGTGGGGGCAGAGAACTCTAAAGGGGCCCTGTTTCCTGCAGAGGCTGGCACGAAAGTTAAACCAACAACTCCCAAGAGCGGCAAAGGTTGTGCATACATGTATGTCGGTGCATATGTATTCATTTAGTCTGTATAACCACTGGAGAGGTGAGCATGACTCACCCATTCTGCACATTCAGCCCAATGTGAATGAGGCTCAGAGTGAGCCTGCCACCTGTTCTGCTGCAAAGGGGAGGCGCTGGCTCTCAGCTCCCGCTTGCCTTTCCAGGGTGAAGCATCAGCTGCTCAGCCACGGCTGCCTCCTGCAGGCGAGATGGTCTGTATGGGCAAAGAGGTGTGGAGACATACCATATGTTTTTAAAATTTTATTTTCATCAGGATTTACAAAAATTATTCTAATTTGAAAGGCAGAGTTACAGAGAGGAAGACAGGAAGAGAGAGATTAGGCACATTAGAAGGGAGCTGGACATGAGGCGGAGCAGCCAAAGCCTGAACAGGCAGCCATATGGGATGCTGGTGCTACAGGTGGCACCTTTACCTTCCATGCTACGGCTACAGCCCAACAATTTGGATTCCGACCATGGTGGGAAGGATAGGCAAGGTGGACCTTGGAAAGCAACCCTCTGCCAGGGGAGCAGGATAGATTGGTAGTTGGACACATGGACTCAGAGCCCAAGCAGGCTGGATTAGAGGCCCAGAACTGTGACGTATTAGCTCTGTGACCTCAGATAGGTGAGGAAATGGCCAAGGCCTGAGTTGCACCCCTGAACGTGAGACCCACTTCCTGAGGTCCGTGTACATCAGACCACAAAAATGCCAAGTAAAGCCCTTAAGCCCTGGCATCCCCCGGAATGGTGCTGCTATCAAGGCCAAGCACATTCAGGAGTGTTCTCAACTCCCATCTGGTACAAATTGCTATGCACAAGTGCTGTAGCGCACAGGGAGGGACTCACACGCAGTGATTCTCCTTTCTCTCTCTCTCTGCACACACCCCTCCACACACTTTTTTTTTTTTGAAGTGGAGAAGCTGGGATATGAACCGGTGTCCATACGGGGTTCTGGAGCTTGCAAGGTGTCTCTGCCTCTTGAGAGTAAGCATGCAGGAAGTGGGATGGTTTACCAGGTGCTGCCTCTGTCGCTGAGTACTGGTATGAGGAGGAAGAGGAGGAGGAGCGCCTTACTCCACCAAGCCGAAGCCCAGCAGTTCTCATGCACTCTGGGTGCTGAAAAGTGGGTCTCACAGGGTGTGTGTCCCTCTGACAGCTGGCCTGGGTGTCAGGCCTGGGGCAGGAGCACAGCTTACCCCTGCCCTCGGGGTGGGGCATGCAAGGCGGCCAGGGACACAGCGAAGGAAGTGGAGGAGTGTGGTGTTCAGGGCTGCCCCTTTGCCCTGCTCTTATCCGGCTGAGCGGCTGAGAAGGGTGGGGGTCAGGATACAAGTTAGGTGTCAATCATGTCCCTTACGGCTTCATCTTGAAGGAGCACCTCTCCAATTTTTGTACCATATTCTAGATCTTCAAAGTAGCTGAGTGTAGTTACATGCACACCTGTCAACATGCGAGAGGGGGCTGTGTCAGAGGGTGAGACTCAGAGAGCAGCTCCCCAGGAACTGTTTCCACGGTGCTCAACTGTAGGGTGGGCAGCGGGAGGCAAGCAGCAGTGGCCCACAGAGGCCCAGGTAGGCATTGTCATTCCCATTTGTCCTCCACATGAGAGTTTTAGGTAGGACGTGGAGGGGTAGCTGCCAGGAGAGAAACTGATGCAGATCTGAGCAGGACAAGTTCAAGTGGTGCAAGGAAGTGCAAGTGGAGGAGCTAACTGGGAGATGAGGAAAGTTAGCAGCACTGCTGGAAACAACCACCAAGCCAAAGCCACAGGGTCAGTGCTTGGTGGGCCAGTGCTTGGTGGGCCAGTGCTTGGTGGGCCAGTGCTTGGTGCAGCCTTCAACATGCTGTTGGGAGTCAGCTTTGTCCCGTGTTGGAGGGCCTGGGGTTGAGTGCCGCCTCTGCTTCTTAGACAGCTTCCTGCCAGCTTCTTGCCAATGCACATGTTTTGGGCGGGGCAGCAGAGGACTGCTCAAGTCCTGCAATTCCTGCTACCTCCATGGGGGACCCAGATGGAGTTCTAGGTCCTTGGGCTCTTGGTGTTGGTCTGGCCTGCTCCTGGCCGTTATGGGTATTCAGGGAATGAACCAGCAGATGAACCATCTCTCGCTCTCAACTAAAATGAAAAGAAATGTTTATTATTATTATTAAATAAGCGAGGCTGTTGTCTGGGCAGGGTGGACACTCACATGGCTAATGGATGGGGACAGTGGTGAGGTTGCTAGGACAACTCTTGAGGCTGGGGTTGGGGTGGGATTTACAGAGCAGGTGTGTTCTGGAGTGCCAGGACTGTTGGTGACATTGGAAGTGACGCTGAAGAGTTACTGGAGGAGGAAGTCACTGGGAATGTAGCCTGTGTGATGCTAGAAGGGTGACATGGGTCATGTAGTCCCTTCTGAGTGTCTCCCAGGGTGACAGCCTCAGGTGGAACAGGGAGGGGGCCACACGGGGACCTTGTGTGTATGGGGCAGCTATGTGGAGACCGTGCATGCTGGCTAATGGATCAGCAGTCTTTGGCTTTGGCGCTTTTTGGGACAGGGAGGTTTTCTTTGTTGGTCAGGATGTGTCTGGTTTTCTGTTTGTTTGCTTGTTTTGTTTTAAGATTTCTTTATCTGAAAGGCAGATTTAGAGAGACAAGTAGAGAGAGAGAGGTCTTCTTCTGGGGTCTCCCACATGAGTGCAGGATCCCAAGGACTTGGGCCATCCTCCGTTGCTTTCCCAGGCCACAAGCAGGGACTGGAAGGGAAGCTGAGCACTGGGACACAAACTGGCACTTGTAGGAGATGCTGGTGCTGCAAGACAGAGGGTTAGCCTGTTGAGCCACTATGCTGGCCCAAGATGTGCCTATCCTTATGTGACACAGAGCAAAGGACTAGGTCACCTTAGCCTTACTGCTCACACCTTTAGAATGGTGAACCTACCTATTCAGGGTGTGATGCAGCACTTTTAAATAAGTAGCAGATATACATTATCGAGCATGCAGTAGGCACTTAATAAAAGTTAGCTCCCTTTTCTTCTCCCTCTCATTCAAGATGATGGAGTGTGGCTTACATATGGCTGACTGTCAGCCTTCATTCCACCTACCTTTTAGTGGACTGTCAGGCACTGCCAAGACTGAAAAGCTGAAAACTACATTTCCCAAGATTCCAGGTACTCAGGGTTCCAGAAGGGTGCAGTCTGGGAAATGTAGAGCAAAGCCAGCCGAGGTCTTACTTGATCTAACTCTCCTGTTTCCATTGGCTTTGCAGAGAAGAGATCTAGGGGCTTTCTGGGGTGGCAGGGGCTGGGATTCTGGTGCCTTTTGGTTGGCCTCAATTACATGGGGAGGCAAGGGCTAGGCATTTTGCTGGGGCTTTGAGGCAGTAGCAGCAGCAGAGCTGGTTAAGCAAGCGGGCTACAGGCATCCAGGGGGGAGGCAGGCCAGCAGCTGGCTCCCTAGGTGGCCCCAGTCTCCTCTGGGAAGCCTTGTGACAAGCTGACCCTGAGGTCCTTTCTAATCCCACCTTATTGTTCTGTAAGAAACTTAATACCCTTCCATAAATCTTTCTCGCTTCATTTAGCCAAAGTGGATTTTGTTCTCTTCAGTTAACCAGTGCACATGGGATGGAGCATTTTCTACTGCTGGCTTCCTGTAGGAGAAATCTCCCTGAAGACTGATGAGAGGGGCCTCCCCCAGCCACGTCCTTCCTCCTGCTCCAGGGTCTAGGTAGGTGTCTGTCCACAAAATGCAACAGCCAGAAGGCAGGAGGATGTGGTAGCAGGAGACCAGGTGCTATCAAAAAGTTCATGACCGTTGTGGTCACTTGGGGAGTGAATCATCGGACAGAAGATCTTTTTCTCTGTCTCTCCTCCTCTCTGTACATCTGCCTTTCCAATAAACATAAATAAATCTTTTTTAAAAAAGAAGTTTGTTTTGGTGCAAAGATTAAAAAAAAATTATTGTGCATTTTTCCCCCCACAATATGCATTCCCATGGAATTTTTAAAGATTCTTTGTGTTATGTAATTCTTCTAGAATCTCCTATCCTGAATTTTTTTCACAAAGTTGTATAAATGAGTGATGTGAACAGTATTTCTTCTTTTTGGTATGGAAACCAAGAATGGTTTATTTATTTATTTCCTTCCTTCCTTCCTTTCATTCCTTCCTTCCTTTCATTCCAGGCAGAGTTACCAAGAGAGGGAAAGCTCTTCCATCTGCTGGCTCACTCCCCAGATAGCCACAATGGCTGGGACTGGGCCAGGCCAAAACCAGGAGTTAGGACCCAGGAGCTTCTTCAGAGTCTCCCACTTGGGTACAGGGGTCCAAGCACTTGGGTCATCCTACACATCCTCCATTGTTTTTCCCAGGCCACGAGCAAGGAACTGAATCAGAAGTGGAGTCATCAGGACTCGAACCAGTGCTCTTATGGGATGCCAGTGTTGAAGGCGGCAGCTTTACTTGCCCCAAATAACTGAATTTTGTGTTGAGAGAATGCAGTTCAGGGATAGAAGAGGTGTGAGAGGAAGAGGAGGGGCAGGAGAGCAGAAGCCCATGTGGGAAGCCAGCAGGCATGCTGGAGAGGATGCTGGATTTCTCAGTCTGTGGGATTAGGACATCCAGGGTAATCTGTCTGGGGAATCAAGGGCAGAGGCCTTCAGCAGACATCTGGAGTGCACAAGAATAGCACTGCGGACCTGTGACTTTGTGCTGTGCTTGGTTCTTTCCCCTAAGATGGGTCTGTGTCTGCCTCCACCCTCTGGCTCCTAAGCTCCCTGGCCATGTTCTCCATTGCTGCATGCATATTGTCATTGCTGTAGTTATTTTGCAAGATTCTTGGCTCTGGGAAAGCGGAGACCTAAGTCTAATTCATCATTTAACCCCTGAAAGTTACCACAAGCAAGGGTAGTGCAGATGAGGGCATCTTCCAAAGACAAACTTCAAAATCTGGGTACAAACATGTTGAAATCCATGCAGTTTTTTTCATGACATGCATTTCTGCAAACTGTGTGTGTATTTCTAAGGAGAGCACCCTAGAAATTTAGCCATATTCTCAATGTTTTTCAGAGGTAAGACATACTTACAGGACCTGCAGGAGGGGATCTTTCTGGGGATGCCTGGATGCTGCCCCTTACACAAGCAAGAGGCATCTTTCCAAAGCCAACTTTGCCCTGCCTGGTGCCTGTCTCCCATGGGGGCAACACTCCCACAGAGAGCTGGGCAGGGAACCTC